AAAAGACAAAGACATTAAAAGCAACCCTCCAAAAAGGAAAACAAAACTAGTGAAATGAGGCATACAGTAGGCCCTACTCAAAGCAAGAATATGTGCATGCAACTTTTTGATTGAGCTGCTGTATCTAGGCAGCAATATTTTTGTCTGTAGTTGGGCTACAACCCTTTCCAGCCTGATACCATTGTCCTAAAGGTCAATAATCATTTATTTATGCTGATTGAAAAGGAGTCTCAAAGGCAAAAAGGTAGCTGTACTTGAGCAATTTACATTCTAAGGGGGAAAACATGAGACAAACCAAAGGCAGTGTGAGAGCCTTCCAGCCACTCACAGCCTTGGCAACTTAAAACATTAAGTATTTTTGCTAAGGACATACTGTATAGCAAAGAGAACTCTACTCAGTACTCTATACAGTGAATATGGAATTGGGTGGAGAAATGGAATCCACATGTATGGAGAGCATTATATATGAGTATGTAGAGGATGTCAAATATTTTACCTTCTCCTGTCAAATTTTCTAACTGCATTTCATTTAACCACCACTAAGAGAGGTTCTCCTTGCTGAATTTTAAGAAATCTAGTGAAGAGTTGCCTTATCAACTTCTAGGGAGTGGAAACATTCAGAACTCATGCTGTCAGAGCAAAATAACTATTATGTTTCCCCCATAAAGCTAAATTAAATTATTAAGTCAGCAATTTTCAAATCGTGGACTCTGAAGACCCAGGGCTCTAAAAGGCATCACTGGGGAGTCCTTAAAAAGCACACACAGTAATCATATAAGACATTTAAGTTAGAACAGCCTCTGTTTCTCCAACACAACTCTACAGTCAGAAACTTTAAGAAGTTTCTTCCTTAAAGCAAGAAACAAAAACACAACAACTGAACCTAAGGCAAAAGGATACCATAACTTGAGAGTGTGTAATGGGTTAGGCAGTGACTCCACAGGATCCTGTCCTAGGAGTAAATGGTACTTATATCAGACTTGCTTTCAAAAATAATTGGGGGAAAGGGTAAAGATAATGAAAGGTTTGAGTCTACTTAGTGTTGGCTACATCTCAAGTGCTGTATGTTTTGCTATATAGTCTCTCAGATTGCAAGGCCACTTTCAATTCCAAATAGCATTTCCTCTAGATTCAGAAAAGTAGACCTGCTTCTTCCATAGTCTGTGTCTGAGCCCTGAGAAGATTGACAATCACCATAAAATATTACTAAAAATATTTTAGATTTGGCAAATTTAACCACATTTTTGCCTTCTGAATGGTTTCTTTGAATTTAAATCTGAGGACATTTCAAGGTAAATTTAATTTTCACTTCTCTGATTAACTTGCACTTCATTTTTCATAATATTTTCTAAGATCTACTTTATAGCCCAAAAGAGAAATCAGCCTTTGGGTCTGTGAACGAGTAAACCATATTTTCCACAAAATAAGTGAACTAAAGTTAATTAAATGGTAACATGTTTTCAAACTCAAAACTCTTATAGAATTGATAATTTGCAAACCCTTATACTCATTCAGCTCATTTAAAGATCACCTATAGTGTACAAAGCCTTACACTACATAGTGGGTTGGTATAGAGAAATGAACCAAAAAATTGCCTTTGCTTTCACAAAGCTTCCTACCTCCTGGGGAAGGCCAGTGATACCAAACTAAAACAAAATGTAATAAATATGAAGGAAATGGGATTCAAAAAGTACAATAGGAGGTGCAAAGTATGAAACTGCCAATCACAATTGGGAGTGCCAATTTACAAGGACGGTTTCTTGGAGAAAATACCAATCTATTTGGGCCTCAAAGGATGTGTGGAGTTCTAACAGTAAAATAGGGAATGAAAGGCATCACATGCAGTGACTAACATGACCAAAAACAAAGTGTGAGAATATATTTTGTACTGGAGGATGTAAAAAAATCTGTTGGTGTGGCAGGAGTGAAGCTTACTTGGCCAAGAGGAAGATGTGGTAATAAAAATGTTGAAGTGGTAGTTTGGACCAGATTATAAAAGACCTTGAATGCCTTGCTGAGGAATTCGAACTTTTTAATTTAAATAATAGAATCATAGATGAAGATGGTGGAGTAGGAGGACATGGAGCTCCCTCCCACCACAAACACATCAAAAATACATCTACGTGTGGAATAATTCTCCCAGATAACTAACCGGAAACCATCAGAAGAACTAAACAATCAAAGCTGCAAGAAAGATCTTCATGTAACTGGGTAGGACAGAAAAGAGGCATCATGTCAGGAGCTGCACCCCAGGGAAGGGTCTGTAAGGAAGAGAAGGTTCACATGGGTGGACCCTCACCTTGGGGCACCAACAGATCAAGCCACAATCTGGACATCACAGTCTTGGGATCCTGTGTGGAGGAGACAAGCCCCCGTGGCTGCTGGGAGAATCACTGGGACAGACAGAAGGGCTGGTGAAGCCTAGACTCCACTTGTGAGGAGTGTGTGCATGCTGGCTTGCCGACAATCAAGGCAGAGAGAGCCTTGCACAGACAGCAGCCGACTCACTGCACATCCCAGTCTGAACAGGGTGAACACCTGAGGCCCACTCACTCCACACCACAGCCTGCTGTAAGATCTGGGCCAACTGAGAGCCCTGGGAAAAGACGCAGTCTAGTCATGCAGAAACAGACCAGGGGTTCTGGACTGTGATCTGGGTGGAGCAGCAGCGGCCAGTGTCAGTGCCCACAGGAGCACACAGCGGTTCCTCTCCCAGCAACAGTACCCCGGCTCCACCCGCCCACTCCACACTGCAGCTTAGTGCTGGATCTGGGGAAAATAGGTGCTGGGTCAAAACTGCCACAGAGGCAGCCCAGATCTCTGGCAGAAGCACAGCCACCTCAATCGCTACAGCCACAGCACCTCAACCCCCAGCCCCAGCCTACTCCACACCACAGCTTTGCACCAGATCTGGGACAGGCACAACAGAGGAAGGGATGCAACCTTGGGCTGCTTCTGAACAGAGCCACAGACGCCTACACAAGCAGTGCATAGGTTCTCTGTGAGCGCAAGTGCCTCACTTGCTACAGCAATCACCTCCTTTGGGGCAGAGCATGCACTCAAGGGTGACAGAGCCTGATCAAGCCAACCCTCAGGGCTTCGTTCCAACAACTGGGGAGCAGACCCTGCCCCTGACAGGGCAGCAACAGCCAATGAGCAGGGAGCAAGTCCCATCTCACACCCTGCTGAGGCTCTAGACCCTCCCTATCAAGGGAATAACAGCACACCCTGAGAAAAGAGCCAAAGTAGGATAAACTGACTCTTTTGATGTGTACTCAAAGGGATGTATAGGAGGGCAGGGGCAGAAGTCTAGAATGAGTCTTAGGCCTCTCCATGGCCATTATGTAAGATAGAGACAACCAGAGATTAGCAGAATTGAAGGAAAACATCACGACTTAGATTTGGAGCACTTGAGTTCCAGGTGCTAGATAGATATCCATGGAGGAGTGGCAAAAATACAGTTGATGAGCTGGTCTACTCCTCAGAAAAAAGACCAAAATAGAGCCATAGGTTTGGACAGGGCAAGGTTAAGGTATATGGGCATGATAACTAGACTAAAGTTTGGTGCACCTCTTTATTTTTTTTTTAACATGACTGTTTTCTTCCAGGTTTATTGAGATACAATTGACATGTAGCATTGTGTAAATTTAAGGTATACAACATGACAATTTGATATACAGAGACTGTGAAATAATTACCACAATATGATTAGTTAACACATCCATTACTTCACATCGTTAACTTCTTTTCTGGTGCACCTCTTTAAACTGATATTCTTTCAATACCTGGTTGTATTAGTTTGCTGGAGCTGCCATGACAAAGTACTACAGACTGGGTGCCTTAAAAAAAAATAGAAGTTTATTTTCTCACAGTTCTGGAGACTAGAAGTCCAAGATTAAGGTGTCAACTGTTTTGATGCCTTCTGAGGCTTCTCCCCTTGGTTTGTAGATGGCCAACTTCCCCCTGTGTCTGAATACTGTCTTTCCTCTGTACATTTCTGTGTCCAAATTTATTCTTCTTAATAAGGGCAGCAGTAATATTGGATTAGGACTCACCTTAATGACATCATTTTAACTTAATTGCCTCTTTAAAGATCCTATCTCCAAATATATCACATTCTGAGGTACTAGGATTAGGACTTCAACATATGCATTTTTTGGCGGGGGTGGGGGAGTGGGGGGAGGACATAATTCAGCCCATAGTCAGTATTATTGAAAGGAAAGATGGAGCACTGTGTAGGAAACGGTGGAGAAGGAAAATCACAGGTGACAAACCAGTAATTCAGCTTATCTTTTCGTTGTATACCTTGCTCAGCAAAACAGAAGTACTAAAGATCACCCCTCACCCTCTCTACATGGTAGTTTAAAATCATCTGTTGGTAATTGAGCATGAAGGATAGTGTGAAGATCATAATATACTGAATCTGACATATATGTATATGACTATAAGGCACATGAACTGTCTACCAGATATTCAGGCACACTACACAGCCAGAATAATAAAAGCAACACACAAATAGACCAACGGAATAAAATGCAGAGCCTAGAAACACATTTGCATAAATGGGAAGTTGATACATGATAAAGATGGCATCACAGGGCTTCCCTGGTGGCGCAGTGGTTGAGGGTCCGCCTGCCGATGCAGGGGACACGGGTTCTTGCCCCGGTCCGGGAAGATCCCACATGCCGCGGAGCTGCTGGGCCCGTGAGCCATGGCTGCTGAACCTGCACGTCTGGAGCCTGTGCTCCGCAACGGGAGAGGCCACAACAGTGAGAGGTCCGCGTACTGCAAAAAAAAGGTGGCATCACAAATCAGTGATGATTTTTAGGAAGGTTCATGGTAAACTGGCTTATTCTATGGAGAAAAAATGAATCCATATGATATACAGAAGTGAATTCTAGATGGTTTATAAAACTTACCTGTGAAAGGTAATACTGTATAGTTAATAGAAGAAAATGTTGACTCTTTGCAGCCAGCACAGATTGATGGGCATTTCTGGAGACAACTGGATTAGTCCTGTTTTAAACTACCATTAAACCTCGTGTGTGTGCTGTGCTTGCTGCTGGGACTCTGACCGAGGCAGTAATTGGTACCAGGTATGGGGGCGTGACAAATAGATCCTCAAAATGGGATTCTGGGATTGAGTTGCTGCTATTTGAAGAGTGCACAGAGTGGCAGAGGAATAGAAAACACCGGTAATCCACAGCATAGCATCACAGTCACTCAGATTATCACCAATTGTGGCCTTGAGTGAAGATAGAGACCAAGGCACTGGCAGGTAGTGGCTGTGGTAATATTAGTGATTACCAAGATGTTGGAGGTGGGGTGGGGGAATGTCTACTTACAGCTGCTCTGGAGAGTGTATGTAAAGAAAAAGATAAACATAAAGTCTTCAATTTCCAACCTAAGGCAGTTGTAGAGAACCAGAAAGCCTCTATGGTGCCATATAATTTCCTCATCTCATGTAGCTGAAAGGCAGACTTGGCTGAGAATCAGGCCAGGGCTTGACTGTAAGAGTTGGAATTGCTATTTCATTTAAATATACCAGGCACCAGGTCTCTTTTGCTAACATGGGAGACTAGTTGGGAAGGAGTAGGGCTCTCATGATCGGGGTGGGATATTTGGACAAACACAGGCAAGGCTGATAGCTTTAAATACCCACTTATCTCTGTATCATTCTCACAGGGACCTTGATTGAATTGGTATCCCACAAAACATCACCCCAGTCCATTTTCTGGGGACAGTATACTAATTGGATCTGATGAGTGGGAAAAGGCAAGGATCTCAAAGCCTTAATAAGATATGTGTGCCAGAGAGGGGACGTAAAGAAAGTTCACAGGTCTGCCCCATGGGGAAGTTTCTGTGAGTTCAGTGTTCTGGAGCATATTGGGATATTTTTTCTAAAGAAGAGACATACTGATGCACCTTGAGCCTTCCTCTATGAAGATAAAGGTACAAACAACACCTGGTGGACTTTCTTGGACTTTAGAGGCAACATATATTTGTGTTACTTTGATACTAATAACACTAGAACAAAACAGAAAGAAAAGTATAAATGCATAAACATTAAAAAGGGTGATGGTGGACAGGATATGTGTTTAACCCATTTGTAGACTGATAATAATAACCAGAAAAGTTGCTACATTCTCTATTGGTTGGTTAGTTGTTATACATTTGTGTATAGTCCTCAGGATGAACTTAAGTATGTACACCTGTGTGTGTGTGTCAGTGAGAGAGAGAGAGAGAGAGAGAGAAAGAATGACAGAATGTATTTTTTAGGTAAATTATTTCAAAATACTGAAACTTTCAGTACATTGATCTCCCTGAATTGAGCCTTCCTTAAGTGCTTTAAGACCTTGCTATTTGAAGTGAGGTCCTCAATCACAGGGATCAGCATCACCTGGGAACTTTAAATGGCGACTCTGAGGCCTACCCAGGGTCTCAGAATCAGAATTCTGCACCCAGTCTTAGGCCCACCCAGACTGAATCAGAATCTGCATTCTAACAAAACCCCCAGGTGATTTTTATACAAATTAAAAACTTAGAAGCCTCACCCTAAAGTATGTGTTTCTTTTGGAAAATGCATCAGACATTGGGGAAGCCTGGGTTGCATCCTCACTAGCTTCAGGGGTGCTGGTATCATATAAGAAATTTCCACTTGTCACTTTAAGCAAAGCCTTGGGCCTTCAGCTGTGTGCTTTTCCATGAAACCTTTGGACTAAAAAAAAATGAAAACTGAATGAGAACCATTGATAACTACTACAGATACTATTCATAGGTTTATCATCTTTGTAGTTTGTCTCCAAAAGATTCTAGTTCTCCACAAAACTCTTGCCTTTTCTTGTCTCAAAACACATATATTAGGCTGAAAGCCCACCCAGAAAGTATTTGCACATCAAGTGCCTTTGGGTCTTCACATGTTGTTGTCTTTGTCTAAAGCTCTCTTTCCACAACCCCTCCTTGCTCTTCTGCTGGCTAACTCCTACTAGAGCCTCTGGCCCCAGTCTTATCTTCTGAGGACTATTCCCTGACCTCCCCTCCTCACCCCACCCCACCCCATCGCACCCTCAGCACTCAAGTTAGCAGTCCTTCCTGGGAACCTCCAGGTCATGCTTCTATTCTAGAATGGGGCACACTGAAGTGAAATTGCCTAAAAGCTCTGTGAGGGTGAGATGACAATCTCTGTGTAACTACAGCACATACACCTACCCTGTCGCTTCTCAGGTGCCTATTTTACTTGCTAGGTGAAGGAATGATACATACAGGAAAACCTGTACCCAAGACCATATAGCTGGGATTAGAGCCAAGTTCTGACTAAGCCTCCAAACCCCGTGGGTACTACCCCACGGTGCCTCTAGGTAACCTCCTAAATAACCAGAGTAAAAGGATTTCAAAGCAGAGATTGTGACATTAATCATCAAGTTTATTTTACGCAGAAAGTGCATATTTTTACATATACAATCATGTTAGCATCACCATGCAGAGCTCCAGTACCGCCAAGTAAAGAGTAGTGAGAAATACATTAGAAAGAAAAGCTGTCCTTAGAATAAAATAGTTGTAAGGAAATGATTATCAGACACAATAAGTGCTTTGAAAGAAAATTCAAATATATATTGTAGTCTTCCTTTATTGCAAAAAAAATAGTCTAATTTTCACTCTCTTCAGTCACTTAAATTCTTAAATTTATTTTCAGAAATGAGTGATTGTTTAGTTGTGACAGTTCACACTTGATCCCTTAAGAGTTCTTCCATTTTCTGTTTGAATTTGTTAATTATGGTAGCCTGAAGGCTGATAATTATTTCTCTCTTACCCTGGCACACCTTTCTTTTCTTTCCTTCTCTCTCTCCCTTTTTTTAAAGTATAAATGAAACTCTAATCCAGTTAGTTCTTCTTGGTCTGATTGCCAGACTTTCCAGTAATCACATCTGAGTTTTTTCCAACATGTGGGCAATTTTCATTATTTCGATCCAGCAGTGACCTTTGGAATTCCGGAATCATTTTCCCTCCCCTTCCTGGTGCCCCCAGGAGACTTAGAAGCACAAACACCTGAGGTACCTCTGGGCATCTTCACATCTGTTGGCATAGAAGATGAAGGCCACTGTGTGGTAGATTTTCAACAACAGGTGTTGAGTTTGGGGAAGAGTTCCTTGGTTTTTGAGGGCTGGGCAGAAGCAGTACTTGATCCTTAGTTTCCAGGCTCTTTGGAAACACTTAGAAAACAAAGTTAATCTGTTTATACAAAGCTCACATTGAGAAACCACAGTATGCAATTGCTAAGCAAAAGTAGGCAGGTTTTTGGTTTCAAAGTTCTACATTTTGTATCAATTTTCTATCCAGAGCAACTCAGTCTTTCTGTCTGGGGTTATGCCTCCTTGATGCATCTTGAATCCATGAAATATTATGTTTTCAAGGAGTACCTTATTGTTCTCATGCCCAGTTTTCAACAGTGCATACAAAGTTGAAATTTTTTCCAAGATGAATTAGCCCAGTGGAAGTTTTTCATTAGGAACAATGCAAAAGAGTGAATACCATCTATATTATCTGCCTTATGAAAGTCTCTGGAATCACTGCTTTTCTTTGTTCACTGGTAGTAAAGACTCTAAAGTACAGAAACAATAGAAACACTGTGTTTAACTCAAAATATCACTGAAATCCCATTTTAGGAAAATCTGTTTCTTGCAGATTTTCTCTGAAAAGTACAAAGTGTCGCTTGGTGTGCAGTTATCTGCCAGTATAAATGGTATAAATGGATGATTACTTAAACACGGCTTCTTTTAGAAGAGAGTTTGAGGACTTTACAAAAGCACCAAGCTGTGCTTGCCATCCAGGTGAGCCTGTTGAAGGTAAATAATTTGACTTAAAGGATTGTTAGAAACTTTTCTTATCTCCTTATCTGGGCAATAATTACTATATCTCTAATCTGCTTTTTTAAGATCGGTTGGGGTTTGATTCCTTCCAAATATCTTAAAATCAGGAATTATTTAATGGGAATGGAAAGGTAGCTGAGAGTGTCAAAGATAAGTGATCATCTTTATCTAAACACCAAGAAGTATTACCTTTCCTATCCTGTAGCATGGAGCTGACCATAATCTGCCTCTGAGGCCTTGCAGTAAATGTGTTTTAAATATCCCATAGATTTGGAATTTTGGAGCATCATCTCAGAACATCACGTTCAGAAGAGCCTAATGATCTTGAAGAGATGAGTTCCAACTCAGATATTCTGTAGTACTATAATCAGTCAGGTAGCCCTTTCATTGGGCACCACCAAATCCTTTTGCAGAGTATGAGCTTTCACTGACTTCCAAGTAGTGAAACAATCTTTATCCTGTTGGGTTACCCTTTTAAGGTAGGCTTCTGATGCCTGTGAACTAAACATTCCTCTTACAGTACCACATTCTTGCTTCTGCTTTCAAGTATGCAAGTGCCTATGTACTGCTCATTCTCAAGTTTATATCAGATTTCAGTAGGCATTTGCCTCAGAGGTTTTGCAGACCTTTGTGATTGGACTTATTTTTCTCACTTAGTGAAAATTTGCTGTTAATAGACCAAAGTGTCAGAAAATTCAGAGTATTTTATTCCTCTTAGTAGGGGTTTAGCTCACCCTGCCAGCTACCAAGCAAGGACATTCCACTGCTGGAGAGGAAGACCAGGTAGGAATGTGGGTGTCTTAGCAGAAATCCAACCCCACTAGAGGAAAAAAAAATTCAAAGGAAGTGTCCTGGTGATGGGTCCATGGTCCAAAGACAAAGACCATGCCATAGACATGTAGGCAAGCCAATCCAAGAGCTATAATTGCATCTTCCAGTTGGCATTCAGATGGAACCATGTATTTGCAAATTGTTTCCCAAATATTTTTCTGAGCTTTGATTCACCATTGTTTTGTCAGGAGTGCTCCTTTCTATTTCACAGAAGGGGAAAGTTGCACCAAGAGAGATTACCAGACTGGCATAAGATAGTTTATCCCCTCTGTCAGTTCAATGTCGACATGAGTTTTCTCCTCTTTCCTAACCTAACTGAGCCAAATGGCCTTTTCTTCTCTGTTATTCCCACTGTTGCTGGATCTTTGTAATAAAAGTGAATCTGTTTCAACTAAGGG